GGCCGCCCCCCTGCCCCCCCCACTTCCGGCGCCTCTGCAATAAAGAGAATTACGCCATCAATAATATAATCTCCCATTGTACTCAACGTTGTCATTAGTCGCACGATGTCCTTGTTTATTACCTTATTGTTGCTCCTATTACCCATTGCAATCTACATCTCTATGTTACTCGATAGAACTTTGTGGTTTGGCTACGTTACAGGTATAGAGTTTTTGAATTAAATTTCTGAAATCGCCATTAAGTTTGTACATGTGTTGAGGGAATAATCGTGTAATAACGGGGAATGCATTCCCTGTTACAGTTGCAGAGTGCAGATGGGGAAAGTTTTGGTATTTCCCCTGTCATTCATTGAGGGACACGTTTACTTGTCATGCTGTTATCCATATCTGTGCATGTAAAATTTTTCTGTCTTTTTCGCCAAGTTGGTTGTTCCGTGATCTAGTGTGCATATGACTATCCATGCTTATAAGGATTTAAGCACATATAATGATCTTTTAATTACTACTTTTATATAATTGTTAGGATTGGCTTTGTTGCCAATTCACTTCAAAAGTATGAGCTTTGAATATAGTTATATTTTTATATTTTTTACTAGCACTCACCCATGTTTTATATGTCAAATTATAAAATGATGTCATTGAAATAAAAGGAATGTTAATAGGTTCTTACATACCGGTACTATTACTAGCATTGATTGTAAATCCCTTTTCATTTTAATTATAACTTGTTGTTTTATTTATGTTGCTGGTTTAATTATTCGAAGTTATATTTTGATAATGATTCATACGCCTTTGAAGCGATGAGCCATAAATGGTATTCTGCCGTTTATTGCCACAAAGCTGTGTATTCATGACATTTTATTTCCATCGCCATCGTCCTTACAAAATATTCAACAAGTGAACACACTCGCCTGTGACGTCGTTTGGAGAGGAGTAGACGGATCGTAAACAAAAAAGGTTTCCAACAAATTAACGCAGTTTACACGTTACGAGCAGTGCATTTATTAGACTGCATTTACAGCATGTACAGCAATGTTATTAAAGTAATATCACAGTAATTCATATATTTATTTTAGAATACCAAAACGTCCCGCGTGATGGTTTTGCACGCTGCAGAAAGTGAAGTGTCAGCAGACGACAGTTTGCCTTGGTTTCAGCCTTTTGTTTAGCAGTTATGTTAGTGTTAGGCCCTACTCAGTGACTCCGTGACTCCGTGACTCCTGTGTATCATGACACAGTCACACACAGTGAGGTGCCACGAACAAATTTTAAGATGTGTCACTAAACTCTCTAAACGCGTTACAACTTACAGGTCTTTCTAACAGTTACTGAGTTAGTAGTTACAACTTACATTTATGAATGAGGCCGAACCTTGCCCGCGAAAAGTTTAATTAGCCAAAGTTTCACAAAGTCTAGGCCTATGCATTTTATTTTATTTGTTTATTAGCTCATCTGACGTAGTCGCGGTGCAGCTTAATTGTAAGACTGCATGATCGTCCCGTTCCGCCGTCGTCAACAGTTGGGCCACAAATCTTAACCCGTCTCGACGTACGGCACGATATTCGGGACGTGGGGGGGGGGTAATCCGAAAACGAGTTCTGGAATGTCGAAGCTGGGGTTAAAGGTCAAAGGTCAAGGGTGTAAAAGAAGGGGGAACATTTCCTCTTAACTTAAGGTATAGGAGGAAATGCAGAATTGCGGCACAAGATCTAAACTGCTCGACCTAGCTTGTGATAGTCGGTGATAGCATCAAATGGTAGGAAAAGCCATCACTCGGTGCCGAAAGTTGGAGGTCACAGGTTAAATGGGGCACAGGGCAGATTTTAGACATTTTCTGAGGACATTGGTCTGACGAGGCGATTGGAAACTTTTTGTCTTCAAGCGGTGACCTACTGCATCTTTTTATGGCTTTATGAAAGGAACCATGAAATGTGCTTTCCCACTGTACGTCGAGTAGAGTAAGTGTCCTGATAATCTTTTGAACCCCTCAAGAGAGGGTTCAAACATGGATTTGTTAGTTCGCACTAGTTAGAAAGAATTTGACTGGCCAGTTTGCTAGTAGAATCTATACATTGCCTGCATGTAGTGAGGCTACAATGTCCACAAGTGGAAATTTCAATAAGCTAAATTTGGTTGAAGAATGGTTTTAGCTCTTAAATCGTATAATTTCCTATGCATTCATGTATCGTCAGTATGTTCATTAACTAGGTATGCTCATGCGTGCTCAGGCCACTGCCAGTGCATGTGGATAGTGATATACTGATGTAGTTTTGGCCCTGCGTAATAGTTAGCCAGGTGGCATGCTCTCTATTTCATGCCTGTATGGCTTGCGTAGGTAAATGATGAGTGCTTACCATATTCTGTCTTGCAATAGCTTGTTGCTACCTACGTAGATGGGACTGCCATCTTTATATCTTGAAGACACTTAAACGTACGCGCGCAATCTTCGTGGTCAACTTCCTACGATCCAACAAAATTCCTTTGAGAAGGTTCCGTGATACCCTGTGCTTCGCGATCTGTTCGGCGGCGTATGTGAACACATTTGGGGTTTCAGCAGGGGTTTACTAGGAATGGCCGCACCACTCCATCCACAGAGTCACCCCGCAGGTGACGTTAGATGAAGCGCTGTCGGCTCGGCGGGCACTTGTGATTTGCTTTTTTTTTTTTTTTTTTAACTTAGGCCTATCAACACTGTTATGGGCGTAGGCATCGTTTGTCGTTCATGACAGGGCCCTGCAAGCAGAGTACGAGTGTAAAACTCGAGTGCGTGCGCTGCCAAGTCTGAAATTTGAGTCCTACTGCCACTCCCATGCTTGACTTGAGTTTGTCATCTTATAATCTTGTAGCCAATAAAAGACAAGTGAAATGACAGTTGATAAGAGGGATGTTCAGGAGACTGCAGAAGGAGCATGGGGTATGCTAAAAGCAATAGGTAAAGCAACCGGGGCAAAGACCGAAACCGATGAACAGCCACCGTACAACATTACTGTACCATACGGCTTACAGGTCAATCGAATTGTGTCTTTATCGTCGTTATTTTATCATAATAGCTTCTAGAAAATATTGTTAATCTTATTACAAAAATTATATATACACTCACTCCTGTATCACAGTCAATGTTTTACTTATCACAATTGTATGAAATCACAGGGCTTTATTTTTCATCATGACTTTTATGTTGTGACTTAGCTGACGCACAAGTTCCGAGTGAATGGCACGTTGCAGTGTGTGGAGGCCCTGCGCACTACTGCCAGCGACCTCTATGTTGTTCCACAGGCAGCCGGTACTTGCAACGTATTCACAGTCTGGTCCGTCAATCGCCTAACCGATGAAGTTACACTACAGCAGTAAGACCCTATCACAATAATTGTCAGTAGATTAGACACCTGTTAATAAAGGACAGCTTTGAAAATTTCCCTTGAGTAGCTGTCGTGCAGTAAAATTATCTGTATAGAACAGAGACCTGTATAATTATAAAATAGAATTTTATTATATTGAAGTATCTAGAATTACCCTTATGTATAGGTGTTATTATACTACATTCACCTGCAGTTAGTTGTCGTTTTCTTCTATGACTGTAATCCAAATTTTGGTAATGTTTCAGATATCCTGTCAGGCCACTGGTGACATGTCTGCTGTACATACGGGAGCTGCTGGTCTTTGTTGGCTACTGCAGTGACATGTCATTGTGTGTGTTCAAGCTCGACCCATCTTCAAACCACCTAAAGGAGCTGTCACGTACCAGCTGCAACTACACCATAAAATGGTACGATAAACGCTTCTATTAGGGATGTTAGACAAACTTTACGGTTGCCTGAAGATTGCACACTGCAATTGTTGTTATATAATGGTTTAATAAAGGTGAGTGTTATATACATTATCTTAACTGCCTGCAAGAATGATACAGGATATAACGGAAGGCTTCATTATTAGTTGCAGATTTATGATGTTAAGGTCTGGATATTGGTATGAATTAATGTTTGCTGAGACCTAAAAAACCCGTCAGTGTCTGGCAAAAATCAGTAAGTTGATCTGCACGTGTTTCTACTTTGTGCTATTGTATTATAATTGTATTTAATTTTAGTAAATATAGCATCCTTTGCCTTTGTTCTCACCTGCATGCAGCCTGGCATACAACGAAGAAACCGGAGATCTGATGGCAGGCGGCGCCAACTGCTTCATTACATGGAAACTTACCAGTCAGAATGTAAGAAGACAATGAGCAGTATTACATGAACTTATCAGGAGTCTATTAATATATATATAGACTATATATATATATATACAGGGCTCGAATTAACCGACGGCACCGACGGCAATTGCCGTCAGTGCCCCTATCAATCGCCGTACTGCCCCTGAAAATCCAACCCGACCAACGGCAGTAACCTGCCTTGCCCTTTTCTGTAATTGCCGTCGGTGCCTCTGGCTAGACTGGTTCGCGGCCGCACTGTTTGTCGCAGAGCGTGTACATTGTCTAGCAGAGCGTGAATACCAGGATACCAGTCTACCCTTCGGCAAAAACAATAACCGTAAACGTGGCTTGCTGCCAACCGCTGCCAGTAGACGATCGATAAATCGTGTGCCTGTGTATGCCCGTGGTAGAACACGAATATTTAAATGCTGCACGTGGACTCGGCCCGCACGCGATTTAAAGCGCGGGGAAACGACGCTCGCGCAAGAATGGCCAGCTGTGATCTGTTTGGTGTGCAGTAAATTTGGAGAAATTTTAGTCGAATTCATACGATGACACAAAGTTTTTCATAACAATGGTCTGGGTCTGGGCTAGTGAAAGTTAGGTCAGGGCTAGTGGTTTTTCTCAGTTACTAGCCCGATGGTCTAGTGAAATAAAAAGTTAACGTTGAACCCTGTTACTGTACTTCCATTAGCAGAAGTTGATGTATTAATTTTGGTTATGAAGTTTCCTTTATTTACAAAAGTGCGCTTGGTGGCCGCTTCTCAAAAATTGTGAGAGTGCCTTGATGCCCTTTTAACATTGCCCTCGGTGGCCCCATCGCCATGTTTAGAAGAAAATTCAAGGCAATTTCTCACATGCCCCCAAAAAATTGCCTTGCCCCTCTCGTCACTTAATTCGAGGCCTGTATATATATATATATATATATTGATAGACTCCTGAACGAATGTATATATATATCCACACTTATTCAGCACATTGCCGCACTGGGAGGTGACGGTGGTGCCCTCGCGTGCCGGCACACACCCTGTCCTGGGGGTTACAGTAGGGCCTCCATGCTCTGGCGGGTGTATCGTGTGAATCTGCCGGGTGTGTTGGTAGATACGGGAGCTGTTACTGTGGTGTGAATCTGCCATGGTGTGTTGGTAGATACGGGAGCTGTTACTGTGGTGTGAATCTGCCGTGGTGTGTTGGTAGATACGGTAGCTGTTACTGAGGTGTGAATCTGCCGTGGTGTGTTGGTAGGTACGGGAGCTGTTACTGAGGTGTGAATCTGCCGTGGTGTGTTGGTAGATACGGGAGCCATTACGGAGGTCTACGACGGTGTGCGTACTGCTGCGACAGAACGAGTGGGTCTACGACATCCAGCTGTATCGACGCACCAAGCTGCTGTTCGTAGTCTGTGACTTGGGCCTGCATGTGATCGACTACACTAGTGGACAGGAGGCTTTCTATGTTCCCATGGGCAGGAACGTGTCACTGACCCGGTAGGTCAGATGTCATACTGTATACGCTGTATATTTCGTGGTGGTTTGATTTTTGCAAATTTTGCGAACGCGTCCCCGACTGCGAAAATAACAACGCGCAAATAATTCATACAGAATAATGCCGAATAAATTCATAATTCACCGACCGCGAAATTAACCACTTGCGAAATTGTCCGTCAAGTTTGAATTCGCTAAAATATCTGTACGCGAAAAATATGGCGTATACAGTAGTTCATCAAGTTCGGAAACACCACACTTGTGGCAGCAAGACTGCAACTTTTATTCGTGTTTGATTTGATCGAATTTAAACCGAACTATAGCTATAGCTATACGAGGATGTGCGATTGATGTAATTAACTAACTTCGTTGGTATGTTTATGTCATAATTTGACTTGAATTTAATTGGAAGTGCATGCACTTTAGATTTTACATTAACTTTGTATGCATACAGCTATATATAAATGCTTGTAACTGCGTAAACCTGACCTAAGTTGAGACGTAGTGTATGACTAAAAAAATCTAGCATATTGGGTTGCTTAATTGTATACAAGTTCTACTGTGAGTTTGCATAAATTTACGGTTTAAAGAAAGATGTTCGATCTGTTATTTTAGTGAAGGCCTGACAATACGCATGTGATATAATCGTGTGAATTAACATTACCTACGACCTGTTGACCTCATTGCCTAATGCAGGTCAGTGTTCCACAAGCGTAATGACTATTTCATCACGGGATTCACGGACGGATCAATCCGCGTGTGGAACTGTGTCGTGTTCTGCACAATGCACACATTCCACGGGCACCGCCGCGCCATCACAGGTGATCGCCATGTCTTACTCTATATCTTTGTCCTCTATACACATGGTTCGCACAGTTCTTGAAAAGTCCTTGAATTTGAGGGAAGTTCTTGAAAAGTACTTGAATTTAGTAAATGTTGATTTTGTGCTTGAAAAGTCCTTGAATTTCATGAAAATGTCCTTGAATTTTTAGAAAGAATCCTTGCCTGTAATAAAAAGAAATTTTGTAGCATCAATAATGTGCAAACCTCAATAAAAATTGCATTAAATGAGCTTAAAAAGCTATAGACATGATAGACAGTTAAATTATGATCACAAATTACAGTAAGTCAATAAAATCAGTCAGTAAATCAAGGTATGTTGTAGAAGTGACAGTGTTTAGAAGGGTTTATTAATGTGATCCAGGTAAGTTTTAGAGGTGACAGTGATTAAGAATGGGGTTATTAAATTAATCCAGGTATGTTTTGTTCTGTGTATGAATTCTGATATAATGTCTGATAAAATGTCCTTGAATTTCTGATAAAATGTCCTTGAAAATTCCTTGAAAAGTCCTTGTACAAATTTTCAGTCCTGTATGAACCATGATACAGAATATACAGTATTGATAAGCACATACGTGGCCCTGGGATGGAAAGCTAAACAGGTGCTTGGTTTGCACATGTTGCACTTAGAGTGAGAGCGGTGGTGAAAGTTTATTGGCTTACTACTAGTGACTATGACAAAGGCAGACAACCAGTCTCCCACTCTGTGAGCAAAAAAGACAAATAGTCTTTCTCAAGGGCACAAAAGCAGTGATTGAGGTGGGAAATTGTGGGTGGAAGCAGTGATTGAAGTGGGAAAATGGGGGTGGAAGCAGTGATTGAAGTGGGCTCTCCAAACCTTTTAGCCCGAGATCCTAGACATTTTAGCAACTCTCCATCCCAAATCCCTTAACGTCCAGCATCTTACGCGACTCCCATGGCCTACAGTGCCGATAAGGGGATGTGTTTGACTCGACCACGACCGTAAAGAAGGTGAGACTCTTGGTGGTTGCTCGATTCGTCATAAACATCAGGCATGCGCTATAATCATATACTGTCCCAGTGTGCTGCTCTGTGTAGTATAACCTGCAAATCTTTGTTGAATTAATGCCGGCAGGCTTGGAGGTGTACGGCCCAGAACATTTGTTGTTTTCTGCGTCCAAAGATGGGACCTTGCGCATTTGGAGGCTCGATACCTTTGAATTGGTAATAGCAATAATTAATATACTCTATGGAATACGGATAACATGTATGCTCTTAACATTTTTGCATGTGTGAGTGTGCAATATAAAACCAATCACATTTTACCAAACATTCATGCACACACTCACGTACATGCGTAATATGTGTTCTTGCATGCACACATGTAGATGCATATATATTCTTGCATGCACATAATACATGCATATATATGCTTGTGTATACACAATTAGTATTCATAAGCTAAATGCAAGTGGTTGGTTTGTGGTTTACTAGGTAAAACATAACCGTTCGATTCAGTACCAGAAGGAGATGGAAGTTATACATAAGAACAGGCAAACTTAAACAAAAAACTTGTCAATAATGGCACCTTTTTGAAGAAATCCGTTTCAATCATATGATGTATACACCTAAGTCATCATATTTATATTTATTAAATTTTATATATTCACAATTCTAACCAAAAGTGCACAATGTGTCAATTTTTATGTGCTTGTCCACTGCACTAATTTATATGTTATAGACACAGCGTGTTGATCTTGGGGAGGAGGTGTTGGGCCTTGGCCTGATAGGCAAGAAGCAACTGTATTACAACACATCTAACGAGGTGAAAGTGTGGGACCTCAACATGGTAAGTCTATATACCATCTAATATCTAATCTATGCTATTGTGTGCAATATAAGCAAACCTATATCTAATATTATCAGGATTGAATCATAATAGAATCTATTATTATTCACTCCCGATATTATCCATATTGCTGATGAAAATACATACAATATCTGAGAAAATTTGTTGAACTGATTATATAAGAGGAAAAAGTCTGCCCGATATGAATAAGGTGAGCCATCGTCAGCGAAAGCGTTGAGGAGATGTGTCACATGTCGCTCTGCTATTGTTGTTGCCATGGCGCAGAGTCACCGGCTCTTCTGTCCTGTCAACTCTACCGTCAGGAAGATGCTGAGAGTGAAGCAGAAGGGCTTCCCTGCCCGCATCCTGTTTGCTGCGGAGGTGAGTGCACCATGGTGCTAGCGAGAGCTGCATAATGGCTTCACCCGGGTTAAAAAATCTGAAATTCTCATATGATTGACTATGCAGTGATTGCTCCAGTGAAAGAGTTAATCAACAAACTATGGTTGACCTCAATGTTGCATTGACCTATGTTTGACCTCAACATTGCATTGACCTGTCATTGACCTATGTTTGACTTCAACATTGCATTGACCTGTAATTGACCTATGTTTGACCTGTAATTGACCTATGTTTGACTTCAACATTGCATTGACCTGTAATTGACCTATGGTTGACCTCAACGTTGCATTGACCTATGTTTGATGTCGGTGTTGCAGGACGGTGGCGTGCGCATCGTGTCTCCGGCGTCCGGCACGCTGCTCACGATGATTTACCCGATGGCTGATCTGCAGGTTTTCACAGAGCTTGTCTACCGTCGCCGGCAGGATGCTGTGTATGCTGTGCACATGTCAGGCACCGGTGAGCGCGCACACTCGAATGCACGCACGTACGCACGCATGCATGTACGTACACAAACGCGCACACACTCACACAGATGCACGCACACACACACACACACACATGCCATATGTGGCACACGCATATTTATTTGTTAATTTCACACTCAAAAAACATTCCTCGGCTGCGACCACTGTTTTCTTGTTTTCATCTCTTTCACTCTGCATTGTTTTTTTTTCATCACTGACGCACACGTCGTTGTTGTGGGCATGTTTCAGTGATGGTATTTAGTGGCAGCAGCAATCCATGCAGTGTCTCCCACTGTCTGAAGCCTTCCCACCCGGACACCCGTGTACTGTGTATTACAGATGTGATCCTGGTACGTCCACATCCTGGCATCCCTAATGCATCTTAATTCGATATATGTTATATTTCCTATTTCCTATTCGTGTAGCCTTTTACTCTCCGGTGAGGTGCCTGTGGCAGAGCAATGGGCTGCTGGACCGATGAATACATAGGTAGAAGGGTTAATTACATGGGCAGAGCAACTCTATTTTGATCTTCCTAATATATGTTATGAGTTGATGGTTGCTATATTCTAGCTGTTGTCAGACCTTAGCCCCATCACGATTTCTTCTTTCGTTCCCATTCTTTGTAGAGACAGATGCTGCGCATGTATTCTGCCACGCGTATGGGTAGACCGGTTTAGCGGAGCAGCATGAACTTAGCGCTGTAGTGGTATTTCACTCAGCGTAGGATCTACACAGTGTGTTTTCACCTCGGGATAACATGTGTTCTGCATGTAGGTGGCGCCGCTTAGCGACGGAGCGATGCGGGAGGATGCTGTGATCTTCGCAGGCCATGTGGATGGACAGTTGTCGCTGCTGGAGTCAGACGTTGTCGTCATGACGCCGGCCCGCATGCAGGCGCACAGTGGCGAGATACGCATGCTCAGTGCTGCCCCCTGCAGCAACGGTGCGTGTACAGTTCCACTTCACTCACTTCGAGTACTTTTAGACGTACGTTCTACTTGAAAATGTTAATTTTTCACACTGGCATAGCTGGCCGACAAACTATTACTCTGTGTGTTGTGTTACTTACTATACATGCCATTAGACTATATCTTATCATAATAATAATATATATGACAATATAATATATAAAAAATGTCGTGAAAATATTTGGCGTTATTCATCCCTACATATATAGTAATTTAAAACGATCAGTTGTCGTTTGTGCTGTGTTGCAGGTCGCGACGCATTGCTTGTGTCCTGTGCCACAGACAACATGATGAGAATCTGGCACGTTGCCGTAGCGACGGACAGACGTGTCAGCCTTTCCTGCAAACACAGGTGACTGTTACAGTGTGAGACTGCCAGGTGTGAGATGCCAATGGTGATGGACACTGCTGGGAGTGACAGGTGCATGGACAAGGTGGAGATGCCAGGGCTGAGATGCTCAGGTGTTGAGCTGCACACGATGGGAGAAGGCAGCAGGTGTGAGCTGCACAGGGATTGAGAATTCACAGGTGTGAGATGCATAGATCGTGAGATGCACAGGTTGTCAAGATTCACAGAGTGTGAGATGAACAGGTTGAGATGCACAGGTGTAGAGATAGCACAGATGTGAGATGCAGCAGATGTGCAGGAGCTGTAACCTTTTTTGGCCGGACGTGACATCGAAGCTTGCCATGCTTTCGCCTCACTCACCTGAAATCTACTCAGGTGTACATAGAGAATTGTTGCTCAACAGTGAAAACGACGACCGGAAAACGTAGGCGACAATGAACGGAACCCAGCTGTCTGTCAGGCCGACGTATGTACTAGTGGCATGTTGCTCACCAGGGTGGTGCTGTGTTACAGGTGCATTTTGAGAGGATTCCGACGCATACATTGCTCATTGCTGCGGAACCGGTCGTTTGCACCGCTGTTACACCACGAATAAGGTTCACCATACGCTATAGTGGGTGACGGCGTTGGTCCATTGCTGCTTGCACATATCATTAATGGATCATTCATTTTAATGGAGGTAATTCTTGACCTATTTATCCCAGATGTCAGTTCAAATCTGTGTGTGGAGTTCCTACCTCATGTATAGAGCCGAAAACTGTCTATGAGATTGCTACATAGCACTTTCTCCTGAGCTGCCGTATTTTATGATAATTCGGGAGATAAATTATTATATACAATAGTTTACCAGTGAGTGATCCATGCTAATCTCCCACCTTCACCTGCCGTCTCTCTCTCTTTCATCTTCCTTTCTTCCCTCCCTCCCGCCTCCCTCGCGCCTTGTCTCGCTCTCTCTACTCTCTCTCTCTCTCTCTCATCTCTCTCTCTCTCGCATTTCGGCGCTCTCGCTCCTCGCTCTCTTCTCTCTCTCTACTCGCTCTCTCTCTCTCTCTCTTCTCTCTCTTGGCTCTCTCTCTCTCTCTCTCTCTCTCTCTCTCTCTCTCTCTCTCGCTTCTCGCTCTTCGCTTCTTCGCGTCTCTCTCTCTCTCTCGCTCTCTGCTCTCTCTCTCTCTCTCTCTCTCTCTCTCTCTTTCTTTCTCTCCCCTGTTCCTGCATCTCCTCCCTCCCCCTCGCGTCCACCTATCCAGGTGCCGGGTACTCTATCCCCACATGGTACTTGCAGGGATCGGACTGGGAGATGTACGCGATCGAGCGTACTGGTGCAGGTTTTGGTGCTGGCACGAGATAGACGTACTGCGGACGCCATCACCCACCTCAGGAGATGATGATCACGTTGGTCGGCAAGCTTTCACGCCTAACCAGGGTGAAATTAACTTGAAGAACAGAACTAGAAAAGAACCTAAGAGAGTTTCCAGCGACTCCTTTACATCAAAAGCGGAGAGCTCAAGCAGGAATCTGGGAGTCCGTCCGCCAGTATACACCAGTAGTACTGCGCATAATGAACAAAATGAATTTGCGGGTGACGTTTTGCTAAATTCTTCTGTGGAGTCATTTGGTAAAAAATATGCGTAATTACTGCGAGCCGGGCTCGGATCAAACTGTTTAGTATATCTATGCAGAATTGTCAGGGAGGTCACAGCGGTCCTGCATATGTCCAACTCAGCGAGTCTGACAGTTAAATCAGGGAGTGTTTGACTACGGACTCTTGCTACCCTGCCGGGTCATGCGATCAAAAGACTCAGATATTGCTGTGGCATGTGTTGGGTATTTTTGTGATGGTTTGTTGTTGACGATAAAGGCTATTAACAGCGCGTAGCATTAAGTCCAGTATGTTTACAATGTAAATAAGTCTGCATGACATGCTATTTCTATGTATTTATCCTTGGTTAAGAAAGCTGTATCATATCTGTGAGTCGATAAAAAACAGTTTTTTTTTGCTCGTTATGTTCACTACGTTTTTTGCGGTTTCTAGTCTTGCTGCGTGTGTATCAATACTTGGTACGTAGTGGCATTTCTACATGTTGTTTCTCTACAGGGTGATCGTCCATCGGAGCCTGTGAGCTTCATCAGCTGTTCGCCACAACAGGATCGGACGCAACACTGAGGGATATACCGCGCTCATACGGATTCACCCAGAATGTCAGAGCCATAGTCGGGCATCGGCAATCAAAATCACTTGATTGCCATAAATTTGAATCAGCTAGTGTATTAGCAGCCCTAATAGATACGGGTGTTATGATAAGCAACCCTTAAGGAGTACAGGTTTTATAAGCCAGCCCTAATAGTACAGGTTGTTATATAGCGCACATAATGAGTACAATAGTGTATATAATAAGCATCCATATAGTTAATGTGTTATATAAGCAGCCCTAATAGTTACATGTGTTTATAATAGCAGCCCTAACTAGTAACAGGTGTTAATATAGCAACGCCTAAATAGCTACAGGTGTTATATAAGCAGCCCTAATAGTACAGGGTGTTATATAAGCATCCCTAATAGTACAGGTGTTATATAAGCAGCCTTAGTACATCGTGTATATATAAGGCAATCCCTAATAGTACATGTGTTATATAAGCATCCCTAATAGTACATGTGCTTATTAAGCAGCCTAATTGTACAGGTTGTATATATAAGCATCCTATAGTCACAGGTGTTATATAAAGCATCGCCTAATAGTACAAGGTGTCTATATAAGGCATCCCTAAATAGTACAGGTGTGTATATAGCAGCCTAATAGATACATGTTGTTAGATAAGCATCCTCATAGATCACATGTGTTAATATAAGCCGGCTTCTCTAATGAGGTACATGATGTTATATAAGCAGCCCTAATAAGCTTACAGGTCGTTATATAGCATACAACCTAATAGCTTACAGGTGTTTATATGAAGCATCCCTAATAGTACGGTGTGTATATAAGCAGCCCATAATAGTACATGTGTTATAATAAAGCAGTCCCTAGATAGTCAGGGTGTTGATAGCAGCACTAATGTACGGTGCTTATTAAGCAGCGCTAATGTACAGGTGTTGTTATAAGCGCGCCCTAGATGTTACAGCATGTGTCATAAGGGCAGCGCCTTATATAGTACAGGCTGTAATATAAGCCAGCCCTGATAGTCAGGTGTGGCTATAAGCAGCCGCTAATAGCTGACCAGGTGTACGCTGATAAAGCAAGGCCCTAATAGTGACACTGTGTTATGATAAGCGCCAGCCTATAGTACAGGTGTGTATAGAGGCAGCCCTACTAAGTACGAGGTGTTATAAGGCCAGGCCCTAATTAGTACATTGGTCTGTGTATCATAAGCAGCTCCCTAATAGTACAGGTGTTATAAGCGCCCGAATAATAAGGTTAAATAAGCAGACCTAATAGTACAGGTGTTAAAATATAAGCAGCCTAATAGTACATTGGTTATATAGGCAGCCCAATTAGTACAGGTGTTGATATAAGCGCTCTAATGCTACAGTGTTAATAAGCAGCCGGTATAGTTACAGGCGTGATTATATAAGTCCTAAACAGATACATGCTGTTATATAAGGCAGCCCTAATAGGGACAGGTGTTATTAAGCAATCCCTAATAGTACAGGTGTTATTAAAGACGCATCACCTAACAGTACATGTGTTATTAAGCAGCCCTTAATAGTAAGGTCGGTTGATATAAGCTCGCTAATAGTACAGGTGCTTATATAAGGACGAGCCACCCTGAATAGTTTTACAGGTGTTATAGTTAAGCATCCCTAATGTACATGTGTTATATAAGGCAGCCCTAATAGTACAGGTGTTATATAGCACCATAATAGTACATGCTGTTATATAAGCAGCCCTAATAGTACATGTGTATTATTAAGATCCCTAATGTTACATGTGATTATATTAAGCGCCCTAATAGTAACAGGTGTTAATATAAAGCACCCTAATATGTACAATGTGTTGATATATAGCAGCCCTAATGTACATGCTGGTTATATAAGCAACCCTAATGAGTACAGGTTTTATATCAAGCAATCCCTAATAGCTACATGTTGTTATATAAGCAGCTAATCAGGTAAAGGGTTGTTAATATAAGGTCATTCCCTAATAGTAGCAGTGTGTTATATAAGCAACCTATAAGTACATGTGTTTATAAGCAGCCGCGAAATAGTACATGCTGTTCTATAAGCAGCACCTATAGTACAGGTGTTATATAAGACAACCCTAATGAGTACAGGGTTATTGAAAGCAGCCCAGTTCAAGAAGCCATATTACAATCAAGCTGTGAAAACACACCATGCCCTGTGTTTGGATGTCAAAAGTAAACACAAACTGGAATTAAGCCATGTTGATTAGGCAGATTAAGGGCATGGCTTGATGCTGACATGCATTAAAGCCTGGAGGGAGATCCTAATGTCACAATCATTGTGTGTTTAGCAGCTGCTTAGGCTCTGGTAAATGCACCTACATATGTTGTGTGTAATAAGCAGGACTGTGAGTCTTCACATCTACTGTGTCTTCCACAGTCTAACATTCACGAAGATAGAGGGAGAATAGCCTGCAAGCGGATCTGTGTGTTTTTCGCTGATGAATACCGACCAAAAAATTCATTCTTGGCTCTGTAGACATTTCTACGCTGCTGATGAGACCTTGGATGTCATTAGTACAAGCAAAAGGGGATCAAAAGGGTCTGAGCTTCCCCTCAACTCCCCCACACGTACACATTACTTATAAAAATATTGCATATTCATCAGTCATCGGGATTTTATGCCTTTGTTGTTTTCCTCAGTATTTCATTGTTTACTGAATGCGGCAAAACAACATTGCCGATGAGACAGCCCCGGTTGTGTAGACAGGGTCGTCAGATTGCTCGTGCTTTGCTGTTCTATTTGTCTGACGCATCCTCGTGCTTGTCCGCAGCTGTGGAGCCATGGCAACCAGCTCGTAAGGGAGATGACGTTTGATCGCAGTTACCTCC